TGTGTAACAATCTGAGAGTAAAAGTTATGATTAAGGATAAGGCGAAATATTTTCAGATATTAAAGCAGTTGTTGCCAAAAGATAAACGATTATTTGGCTACTCATGTTATTCTCACACTATATTCCCACTTATTGCACCGATACGATTATCTTTACCTATCTTATCGGGTGCGCCCCACAACATATGCTATATATTCGTGAACGATATGGTGCCAGCGAGTGCGGGTAAAACGCGTTTAATTAACCACTTACATGGTTTTAATTTATCGCTTTGGCGCACTCAAAAAAAAGGAAATTCCATTAAAAAAAAAAAAAACGGCACGAAAGTGCTCTGATAAAGATTTAGCTACAACAAATTGGTGTTATCTTCCGTGGCGGCTTTATCGGGACAGCAGTAGATACCTAGGCCACATGGCAGTGATTTATGCGCAGAAAACTGTCATGATTTTTCCCCAGGGTCCCCAGTTTTCCCCTGCCCAAAAACTAGTTTTTCGAGTGTGTCATTTTGGCATCAAACAAACATTTTCGCTATTCATTTGTCGAGTGGAGTTTTATTTATACATATTTAATATTTATCAATATGAACTGTGCCCGATGTATATGTAAATGCCTAGATGGTTACAGTCGGGGGATCGAGCTTCCTTCTGTTTGGTTCTGTTTCGGTTCTAGGCCTGTCTCTGACTGGTTATTAAAACAAAAGAGAGTGGCAAAATTTATAGCCATATTATTGGTTATTTATTTAAGCTATAAATATGCATATGAAACGAATGAATGCCAGCAGCAGGTTTTTTCCCCATACCCTAGAGGCCACCAAACTCACGCCTTTCTAGGGTTATGATGGACTTATTCACACAAAGTTTGATTAGCTTGAAATATCTGTATAAAATGCATGTTGTTAATTAATTTATAACTAGAAAGTTAACTGATATAAACCACTGATAAGCTTAATTTAAATATAGTTATTCATATTGTTGTGCCTACTCAAAATATGATTGGTGCAATATTAAAGAGTAATATGAGGAATTTGCAATTTAATAGCTTAGTTTTATAAAAAGACAAGTAATTATAACCCCTTAAGAGTAATAAGCATGAGAATATCAAGTTCTACAAGTATTTCTGTGATTTATGGAATTAATAACCCTTCTAGGCTAACGCCGTATAATTACCTTAACACGAACTTTTCCGAGGTATTTTTATCTTCGTTTTTATCTGGTTTTTGTTATTTGGGGTTTTTTGGTGGGTCTCCCTCTGTGGCCATCCCTTTCGCACAGGCTCTATCTCTCTCTCTGGCTCTGACTGCCACTGGTTTTTCTGTTATGTTATTTATGTGGTCATAAATTTGCAGCTGAAAGCAAAGCTCCGAGAAAATGGTTCGGGGACAAATAGTTGCACAAATACGGTTTCTTTTCAATGTATGTGGATAGTCACAGTCACACACAGAAAAAAATTGTATACCTTTCTGTATGATCTATCCAAACATATTATTAATGTTTAACTTTTGTTGGTAAAAAGAATAAATTAGTTAATTCTCTATCAAAATGGTTTTTATATTTGAAAAAAAATGATATTTTTACCTGTGTATTACTAAGCCTTGACGCTTCGCTGCCTTTGAGGGCAGAATTCAGTTGAGTTGAGTTTATTCCAGTCGGGTCTGGTTGAGTTATACGTGCAAATGAGCATCGGCAAAGCCGCTTAAGGACATTGTCCATGGACGGGACTTGGCAACAGGAGCTTATGCCACTGCGCTCCGCTGATTTTGAATGGGAAAGGCTGTTCCTGCCCCTGCCACTTCTGCCACTGCCCCACCCCAGAATTTCCTGCGTGTGTTACATAATTTACCGTTGCTGCAAACATTTCCGCTGAATTTGAGGCGAGCACGCAACCCAAGTCCAGGATATTTCTTTATAATCAGCTGGGTGTCATCATAAGGTCATCACGCAATACTATTGTTGCTCACATCATTTGTCCGCTTAGTCCCGGAATAAAAAGTCGGAAAGTCAACCCCCCGCGCGTCTCACGATTTCTGGATTCTTATCGGACACCATGCATCGCGCATAATGTGCACGGGGCACGTCAGGATTCTAGAATCTACATGACCAAGTTACCATCGCAGCCTACACAGAAAATAATTTTGTATATACTACATATATTTAAAATCACTTCAAAACAAAAAATGCATATTAAAAACATATGTTCAAGTTAATATAATTTGAAGAAACTTAAAAAAGGTGTTAAAAATAAACCGAGCTAGAATATTATTCGCTGTGTAAAAAAAAGTAAATTGAGTGAGGAGCGAATACAAAGCAGCGACCGTCGAAGAGCGCTAGTAAACAAATTAGGAACGTATCCTGACCGGAAGTCCAGGCGCAACCAAAAAAATACTGAAACAAAACAGACACACAACACAAAAAAAGGACAGTCAAAACAACAAAAAAAAAAGACACAAAACACAAAATAGGACAGTCAGGATAGTAAACTTTCCCTTTTTTCGGATATCCTTTGAATACCCTTTTGGATTGACAGTATTATAATATTTATAATATTTTTTAGACCAAGAGTTTTTTAGCATCTTAAAAGGAGAATGTATTTATTAATAAAACTTACAGGAAACGTGACTAGTTCATTTAACAAAGTTCTAGCAATGGAATATCATTGGATCCGAACATATATTTATTTATTTTATTTGGATCATTATTGTTTAAAAAAAAATTGAATATGTAATTACATCACTTAAATTATATAATAACAAGCGTGCTCCTAAAAGGGTATTCAAATTTTCGATAATCTATTTATTTCATAGTTTCTTCATTTCTGCTCCTTCGGTGTTTCTTTGGTCAACATATTTTGTGTGGTCGTCGGAAATTTGTTTGTCCTGGCCGCGCCTGGAAATCTGTTGGCCTGCTGCGCCTCTTTAAGTTGCAATTAACTTTTTGGCGGCTTAAAGCTGACCGGAGCGAAACCCTCCCCGAAAGTAACTCCCATCCCGAGTCTTATGAGGCCAGTGCACGCAATGCGGCCGCACACTTTTTCATTTTAATTGCCCCTGACTATGCTAAACTAATCTACACAAAACGCAGCTCCCTTGGGGGTGACTTCTATACCATTTCGATATTGTAGTCGGTCATAATTTTGATTGAGAAGGTGAAATTGGTATTTTGTGATATATTGACATTGCCGCTCAACGATGTCGTCTGCTTAGTCACTTGCAGCAATTAGTGGAGTGGACAGTTGGACAGTGGGAGTCGTGGCATCTACCCAGCAATTATGACTTTTTTATGGATAGTGGATGGATGGCTGGAAGGGTTGATTGACGCACTTTCATTTGCGGCAAGTTCGCCCACTCCAAAAGTATCCCTTCTGCTACTGTAACTGCCCCCCACTCACGAATATTCTTTCCATTCTTTGTGCCCAAGCACTTGGCTTCTGCTAACACCAATTTGTTCATTGCTTTTCCGGGCTTCAAATTAAAAATGATGTTTGACAAAAAAGAGGAAAATAAAAAAAATCAAAACAGGAGACTCGATAAACTGTGGGTTGCAGTGAGAATACCCTGTAATCCAACTGAGTAGATAATACAGTAAAGATATACTAAGGCTATACTATATTTTTTTTTGATGCGGATTTCCTAAATAAAACATTCAAAATTATTTTCTGTTTCAGGTCTTAATTTATCTTAGAAAACATTGTCGAAATATTAAACGTTTTATAGTAATAGTATAATTCAAAATCCTAACTATGATTGTTAGGCAGAGAATAGGTTTTTTCTATTTATAAACATTTTATGAATATACCAGTTATAGAATTATAATATTTATGCTTATTTCCTAAAAAGTCCAATAAATCTTCCACTCAAAACCAGGATATTCCAGGATATCCGCTGCATATTGTCCCCATTTGATTGTGCAACTGTTCAGCGCTGTCGCATTTTATTTCAAGTTGAGTGACTTCAATCTGTCGCCAGAGAAAAAGAGTCTTGAGGCCTTTTATTATTATTATACTTGTTGTCGTTGTTCGAGTTCTTTCAATTTGGCAAAATAAAAAAAATGCGAGGGTCTGGCCAGGGGTTGTGCATATGGCAGCATTAAAAAACCCACACGTACAATGTCCAAAGAAATTAGATGTCGTCGCTGCCGTTGCTTTTCTCTGATTTTTTGCTCTCATCGTGTGACATACATAATTCCGGGCTAGGTGCAACAACGAGGACAATCGAGACAATGGCCAGCCCAACACATCCTTCTGCCCCCCGAGTCCTTGCCACGCCCCCCGATTCAGTCAGCAGGACAAAGGACATTGCGCGATGTCTCAGCGTTGCCGACACTGATGAGTTTTGCCTTTGTTTCGCTCACAAAACCCCCAACCCCAAAACGCCCCTCTGGACCACGCCCACAAATGATTAAGGCACATTATTTTTGTCGTTTTTAATTTGTGTTTTTTTCGGGGGAGAGAAAGAAATTGCCAGGTCTCCGTTTCATTGTCTGCAGCACTTCAAACGTAAAAGGAAAAAGCTGATCAACCTGGCTGCGAGGAATTAAAAAATATTACATGTTCTTTATCTGAATTAGAAAATTCCTAAGTGCAGAAAATTTCAGGGGATGTATAATTCTTTAGAACTTAACATACGTTTTTTAAAAGTCCTTGAGACAGCAGAATAATTTGGTTTGTTTATATAAAGATAACTGCGAGGTTCAGTACAAATAATATTAAATGTTACACAGTTTTAAAAAGGTATAAAACTAATTATAATAGCTTGCTAAATACATAACAACCCGGTTAAAACCCTTGCAATTTGTATGCAGCCAATCAATCTAATGTTGTTTAAGCCTGTGACGCCACTAAATATTAAGCCACATTCCAACTTAACCACCCTTTCAAATAAATTATTAAAAAATACCCATTTTTGTCCAAAATATTAACCCCATTCTTAACAGCCAGAAAAACAATTTTTAATTGTTCAATTCTTTATTTCATTTGTTTTAATTTAATTATAATGTTTTTGCACAAAACGTTGATGTCTATAAAAAATACATTAGGTAGCTCATTTTATTTTTGCCTTTACTCCCATTTTTGTTTGTGAGTGTGTTGGTGATAGATGCAACTGCTCCAAAAGCGTTGATTAATTCGATAACTGAGAATTTGCAGTGTTTGTGGGTGAGTTTAATACAAGCGTTAAATTAATGTTAATACTTTGCATTAAACATAAACTACAATGAATATATGTAATATATATATGGATATAAAATCTATGCGAGTTCGACTTGTTGTGAATGTATTTTAGCGAATGTGTGAGTGAGTGAGTGAGATGAAGTGAGTGTTTAGTAAACTAATTTAAGTTAACGTTTAAGTTTATATAAATAATATTAAAAATATTTTGTGTGTTGCTTCTGCTTTCGATTTCCAATTGTTTTGTTGTTCATCTCCTTGCGAATGTTTCAAGTTCTGTATTTTTGCTCTTTGCCTTAGTTTTTTTTTAATTTTCTTTGAAAATAATATCACTTTGAGAGTTGAGACTTCGAGTTCAGGGATTCGCCCAAAGGACAAAGCTACAGCCCTAACCTCCTTTGTTGTGTGTCTGTGGATTGTTGTTATTACCAGAGCTGATTCTGTCTTTGGTGCGACTATTTATCAGCTTAATGACGCTATTTCTTTGGGCCACCTCCGATTTGCTGTACTCGTCTACGAACTGGAGAAAGATTTAATTGTATACATTTAAATAAGTACAAATAGGAATTCTTAAAATAGTTATGATAAAATTTGAACATTTTTTATTATCTTTTACTTACCGCCAAATCAAAATCCTTGCAGAGAAGCTCCCTAGCTGCCGGATTGCCAAAGGAAACCGTCACAAGGAACGGATAAATCACTGGATTTAACTGGGCCGACAGCTTGGCCAGATTCTTGAAAATCACGGCAAACGGCTCCGATATCAGCAGGTCCTGGTGCCTTCGATTGTTGACACAGAAAAAGGCCAGCGAGGCGATCAGGTCAATCAGCATGGTGGTGCTCTCGTTGTTCTTCACCCACTGGGCATTGGACACACTGAAGTTCAGGATGAGGGTCATCACATCCAGCAGCTTCAGCGACAATGGACCCTCCACAGTCAGGGCCTCCTGAAATACAAAAACAACATTTAATTGGCAACACACAACAAAAGGGGGAAAAAAATAACCGAAACCGAAATCACTGAGCAAATGTTTTAATTAAGTCAAAGCAAATATCAAAGAGTGGCACTTGTTTAGGGCAGGAAATGAAGGGCCGGCACGTCCTGCGGCCCGATTGTTTATATTCATGCCTATATATTTGCGTGTTATTTGCATAAGGGACTCGCAGAGAGCGCTTCTAATTTGTTTGCCCTGGCAGGCCAAAACCCGAAACTCGATTCAACAACTGAAACTGGCAACTTGTTCGAGGACCAGGAGGATAGCGAGTAAGAGTACGAGCACTAAGCAAATATTTAGCCAAACAATTGACATGCCTGACTGGCTAGAACAACGCCCCCTCACTTTTCCGACCCCGGCAGGATATGAGCGAGCGGCAAGGACTTTCCAGCCGGAAACAAAACGAAAAAAAATAAAATAAAACGAGAACGATTGAAATTGCGTGGGCCTCGGATTGGCTTGGGTTAAACTTGAAAATTTCATTTTACAAAGTCAATATTTACGCAAAAACAAGCACTGCCGCTGGAGCGGCTCTCGAAAATTGAGTTTGCTGATTAAAACCAAATCAAATTATTTGCCAAAAACGGAGCAACCGTCCCTCGCTCACGAGTAGATGATGAGCAACCGAAAACCCTTATCTATTTTTGTGGTAATTTAAAACAAATAGCTCTAATCCCAGTGCAATTCGGGGTTGGAGCTTTCGGCAGCGGCAAAGTTTGTCTAGCAAATTAGTTTGTCAAGTGCGTAGACTTGCCTGCCAGCCTGCAACTGATAAATATTGACACGTGCAACAGACGCACACTCGAATACCGGATAGGGATACACAGGAAATTAAAATCTAGCTGCCACACTTTACAAAAAAAGCAACGGAGATTAGCTGTATAACTTTTGTAACTGGTTAAAAAGTTGAATATTATATTAATTTACATTAATCAATGTATCTAAAAGTAAAAAAGCTTTCTTAATTGTGGAAATTGTATAATTTTCTTTATGGATAATAACTACAATGATATTTAAAACTTATTTTGATGTCCCCTTCAGTTTATCCCAACGATATATTGTTTTATTATTTGGCTTATTGGGTGTATTTTACTGGAAATATTATATTTACATTTGCTAGTGCATTAAAAGAGATAATAACTACAATGATATTTAAAACTTATTTTGATGTCCCCTTCAGTTTATCCCAACGATATATTGTTTTATTATTTGGCTTATTGGGTGTATTTTACTGGAAATATTATATTTACATTTGCTAGTGCATTAAAAGAGATCCAGGGTGGTTTGAGCTAACTCCAAGGCTGAATTTCAGTTAGAATCACGATTGCAGCACTTCGATATTCTGTTTCATTGGCGCGGTTTTTGGCTGCCAACCAAACTTAACTCATCTCATCTCCACTTGGTTCGTTTCGTTACGGTTGGCATAAATATTTCAGGCCACGCCAAGACGACTGCCGACATTTGCCCCAAGTAAAGTGTCAAAATATTTGCGAATGCCACCCATCCTCTATTTTATTCCGAGCCCCCGCCCAACCTGCCATTTTGCCGATTTTCTCCTCTGAATTTTCGCAGGTACACGAGTTCAGAGCAAAATGTCATCGCGGTTCAATGGCGTTTGCCTCATGTTGTGTTTGTCATTTGGCGCTGTGTTGTCTGTTGAGCAAATGTCACTCTGCCCTGACTCTATGCATTTTCGCCGAACCAAAGCCCACCCCACAAAATACACAATTCTCGTGGCTGTCATGACATTTGGCAATATGCAAATCACTCTGGCGAAATTCACTCGCAGATTGCAAGCCGCAGCAATTGCAAAGTTTTAAACGTCTGCACTAACTTTTCCTCGTGTTTTTCCTCCCGCTGTTGTTGATGTTGTCGCCGATTTTCTCAATTTTCGCCAGGCGATTTCACGTTCGACAAAGTTTAGAAGAGCAAAGCAAAGAAAAGCCAAACGCATACATACACCAACAGCAAAAACAAGAGTGGCATCAACAGGAAAAAATAAAACAGAAGTGGAAAAATTCTAATGAAATTTTCTCTACGCTTCGCTGCTTAAGCAGGAAAAACCAAGAAACATTGGACACAAAATGTGTGCAAATCGTTTGCTTAAAAAATCTACAAACTTTTAATTACTTATCTATCGTTCTGCATTAATAATTATTCTGCTCTGCTCTTGAATTTGTATTTAAAAACATTAGAAAGAAATATATACCCAGCTGATACCAAAGTATTAATAGATACTTCATCTTGCATTAAAAAAATTAAATATCAAAAGAAACTTTTTTTAGTTATTTATCAGTATTGAAAATTATTCTGCTCTAATCCTGAATTGGTATTTAAAAAAATTATGGACAATTTAAACATGACCCAGGTGATACCAAAGTATTTTAAGCAGATAAATTGCATTACAAAAATTCAATAACTTAGGAAACTTCTTCTAAAATACATATTTGTCTTGCGACTTTATCCTCCTAGTTTTTCAAAAAAAAACTCGAACCACTGTGCCCTTCGCATTGGGTTAAGGGCTGACTGACTTTTTGATTTGTTTAAACGGCGACGCACGACGTTCGGAAACTCCTCAGAAACCGTCTCCCTTAGAAGGGCAAACTCACCTGGAAAGTGTTCACATCCAGTGAGGCCAGGGACACGTAAAGATGAAAAGTCGATGCCGCCAAGGCGGTCGTGCGCGGTGGAATGCATTCACCTGCAAAAACAGAACATAAAAACCCAGAAAAAAAGAGTCAGAAAATAAGTTAGAAGAGCGGATGAACAGCGATAGCGGATATTCCCTCATAAAACATTAGAGGTTTACGGAAAAATCAAAACTAATTTCCGCCTTTGCGAGGAGATCACGTTGCGTGGGTTGTTTGTAAAGTGCATTGAAATCTAATTAGCACCTCCGCACCGCACCGCCTCCTCAGCAATTTGCAGCTACTGTTTTGGATCAGTTTCAACTCACCCATTGGCATAACGCTGCCATAGAGCATAGATACGGTTCCAAAGAGCTCCGTGGACTTTGCAGCGCTCAGCAGACGTGTCGGATCGGCAGGACCTGTGGATAGAGGATAAAGAAACAAATAAACAACGATCCCCTGGTTTATTTACCCTCAACCAGGTGTGACTTCTGCTGCGAAAAACAGAGCCTGAATAACATGACTCACCTGGCTGGCAAACATCAAGGAATCGGGACAGGAAACCCAAGGTGGTCAGTAGGCTCAGCATCACACTCTGGTTGTCCTCGATGGACTCGCGCACCTTCTGATTGCGACGGGAAAGGATCTCGATCAGACCAGTGATCACAGCAAAGCTGAAAGAGGAAAATGAAACAACAAAATTAACCATTATTTTCTTTTTCAATTACCATTAATTCAGTTAATGCTTTGATTAATAATATTCCATTGAATTAATCTCCTTCCAAAAAGTGATTTAACAGAATGAGCCCTGGGCTCCCAAACAATGGAAATGCCTCCGAGCGATTCCTTCCTATTCAACGTATATCATTCAGCCATTCTCTTGTTGTTTGCCCCGTGGTTTCCCATGTCCATATGTTGCTGGTTCTGTTGGTCTATCCCCTCGGCACTTTCTACCCTCTCAACTAGCTACTACCTTTGGTCCAGGACATTCTACACTTGTTAATCGCCCGGAGCGTTCAAAGGCACGGGATAAAATCACGGTTGTCCGACAATGGAACCCGACCATGTGTCATATCATTTGAAAGCGATTTAAATTCATACTCCCCATTCGCCCAACAACAAGTTATCCCCGCCTCCTCCGCAGAATCGGCCCTTCATCCCGAGTAATCAGCGAGCAAATGACATTCCATTTGCTCTCGTGGCAAGGTGTTTCCTTTCACATATTGAGGGGACAAGGCAGGAAAGCAGACTAGTGTCCTGTTTAACCTCCGAGTGAACATTAACATGTCCTTGCTCTGGCGGCTGATGCTGTTGCCTGTTGTCATTGTCAGCGCAAATCTGTTTTGATTTTAATCCAGCTTATGCGAGCCCGAAATGCCGAAATGCATGCCCATGGTCCTGCAGGACCTCTGTTGCCTTCTGCTTCCGTGAGCTTCCCTCTTGTCCCTTATTCCTGTATTGTTGTTCAGCGAGCTGTGCTGCTCATTGATGCTACACTTAAAGAAATATGACTATAAAATGCCAGTCTGGAAATTCCCATAAATAGCAATTACATTTTAATTTCAAATCGACTTCAATATCATAAGTTTAAACCTTTTAAACCTTTTTTTCATTTCGAAAATTCTTTACTTCATTTTTTTTTTTTGGAAACCAAAGATACAAATTAATTCTTTCGTTTATGTTTGATGAAACGATAGTAAAATTGGTGCAATATAACCCCTTACAAAGAACTAAAATTTAAAAAATTTAAAATCGTTATCTAATCTTTGTATTTTAATGTTATTGAAATCCATGACAAATCTTTAAATAATAAAGTTTCTTAATTTAAATTTAAAAACAGTACTTTAAGGCCGGAAATTATTTAAAGTGTACCCAGATCCGCTGCTGCTACTGTTTTATGCTGCCGATTATGCGCCTTAAGTGCCGAAATCAATGCACACAAATGCCCAAATTACAAGCGCCGTGAAAAGGACATTTTCCACTAGAGGGGGTAGGGGACCAATTTCTGTTTCTTCTAAAAAATAAAAAAACAGGGACACTTTATTCCCTGTCAAGGGGTTGGAATTTTTTCTTGGCAATTGCAACTATTTTGTTTATTAAACAAGAGAGACAGAGCTTGAGTTAAGTAGCGTGTGCATTTGACACTTGTTAAAATATTTGCGCCTGTCCCACACACATACACACTCACACACTTAAGGGAGGTCCACGATGATTAAAAGGGGGAGGAGATGAGAGGGTGGTGATGCCTGCAACTGTCGCGCGTATTTAGCGAACGTGTTTTCACAACTAACAAGGATGTTAATTTTTTTTTCCAGCTGGGGATTCTTATTTTTATTTCGAGCTTTTCACCAAATGCCTTTTCACACCCGAAAAAGTCCTGTCTGGGTGTCCTGCCAGTGGTTTACCCCCTCGACATCCATTTTCGCCCTGTGTTGTCGCATTTTATTTTTATTTTGTCGCCATCGTTGGCTGCTGCTTTTGGCTGCTGTTTATTTTACGGCGCTGACGATTATGTCCTGTCCGGGGTCCTTGGTCCTTGGGAAAGGAAACCTCGGCCACATCCGATACGTCTCTGGCTCGGGTGTTGGCCATTTTGTGTTTGGATTGATGCGACCAACGAACTAAATACTTTCCTCTGGCGAAACTCCGGCCAGGACACATGACAAACGATGACAGTTCAGTGGAAAAGGGGAGGTTACCCACAGACTCGGGGTAAAAGCATCCTTCATGCTCCGTGCTAGCTTTGTGCTTGTTGGTTTAAGAAAATTATTAAGGATATTTTTGTGGTGCTGATGAGTTTGCCGAGTACTTTTTGCCCTGCAACTCGAGAGGAAAGCGGGAAGGTGGGGGGGTCAGATTGACCAACCAGGAGAGCAAACATCATGTGGGTTGTCCCTGCGTCCGGGTGTCCCTGTGTCCTTGTGTCCGCCTGTCTGCGCTAAGTGTCCTGTGTGCGATGCGAGGCACAAATAGCAAAACAGGAAGCTCAAGTATGTTTACAGTTGACAACGCCAGAAACGCTGTGGGGATATCAGCATGGGATCAGCAGGGATGTGCTTTTAGCTTTATTTTTGGGTTACCAATAGACATTTTCTGTCGTTACCAGGCAAAAGACAATTTTATTATTTTGTAGCTACCCAGTGTTTAAAGAAATAATTATTTTTAATAATTCTTTTTATCCTTCAGATTAGTTTGAAATAAATTAAAGGCACTTTCACTTATAATTTAAATATTTCTTCTGACCAAGATATACAAATGTTATACCCCAGAAATAGGATATTTTTCTATTTGATTTTAAACCTCATTCTAGCTTCTAGCCAATATCTTAAGTTAGCAACACAGATCCAGATATAGAAGAGCGGGACTTTGGGACTCATCCTGGTAACGGCACGTAGTCCTTGCTGCTTTGTTTGTCTCTCTCTTGTGGGTGTGTGTGTGTGTGTGTGTTTGCTTGCTTGTGTGTTAGCGTTTGAGTAATGGACGCTTTTATTTGCGAACAGGACTTCTGGCTGTGTCAAAAGGGGTCAAAATGGATTTTTGGGCTATATAAAAATTGCTGCTGGCCGTGTTTGCTTTTTGACGCTGCTACTGCTACTGCTGCCCTCATGGTCAACGGAATTCCCTGAATTCTGCGGCAGGACATTGTCATGGCATATCAATCACTCATATATAGAGAAGGTTATAGATCTGTGTATGTTTATGGCTTGCCACTTAAATAGCAGAAATCTGTATGCCATTCATTTGTATTGTAAACATCGAACGCTGAATGAACTCCTTTTGTTGATGATTCGCTTTCGTTTATTATGATAAATCACACAGAAAATAATGAACGAACGGGAAGAGTGAGTTCTGTTTGATATTTTTAGTGTTTGTAATCAGAACTCGCTTAATTGAAATCAAAACATCAAATTTATTTGCACAACAATTTCTCTTTCAAGCTCTTTTCCAAAAAAAAAAAAAAAGCAAAGAAACAAAATGGTTTGAGAAGGACTTGCACTTGAATCTACAAAAGCTGCTAAATAGATGCAATGTCACAATTCTCGGGTTCTCACACACTCTTCACAAATGCCACTCGTATTTGCTTACAAACATTTAGCAGCATTTTATGGACGAACGTATCTGAATCTTCTGCTAATCGGTTTTTGCATTTTGAGCATATTTAATGCTAGACGCGTGCTGCTCATTAGCATATGAAAGAATTATATTGCCATTGTCGGCGGGCTTTAAACAAAATTTGCAGTGCACGTGGCATTTCGACCAAATGAACAAACGATTTTAAAACTGTTTATGGGATTGGTGGCTAAAAGTTGCGCACAAAATGGGTACATTTTATTGAAATCTTTCGTTTGTCCGATTTAAGTTGCCAAACAAATTAAGTAAATTATGTATAAACATGTTATCTCAATTCCCTAACATAAGTCCATTGACTGTTAATTTAATTTGACTAATTGATTCATTTATGTGGCAGCTGGATTTTTATTGAGAGTATTAGATTTATCCAATTATTAAAATCACTGAATGATTTGAGTTAAATCCAGCGAATCATCTGAAGTAATAACGACCTTTTTTTTTTCAATATCAATACTTTTTAATAACAATCTTTAGGCATGGAAAAAAAGTTTGTAATAAGACAAACCTTGGAAATAAATAAAATGGTCCAAATATACATTCGTAATAAAGAAACTGTTTAATAACTTATCGTGCATTTATCTACACATAAAACTCTGAAAATGCGTATGTTTTTTATTTACGCAATATTGTTTCGACCATTTTTAACCCCAACACATTCTGTGTTTTCACAACCAAATCTGCTTAACAGATTTCGTAGTAATTCAATTTCAACACGAATCATTGAAATTCATCAGATTCAAATTCATTCAATCAAGTAAAGTCAACAACGGAGGCTGGAAAAATGCCAGCTGGCTACCATTCTGCATCCGAGAACACATATAGAAACCAAATCGAGCCCGATTCAGATTTAGGTCGGAGGCATGTGCATAAAACTCAACGCCTTGCGGTGGGCCTAAAACAACATTAGGAAATTCAATTGTAGCCGGCAGGCAAAACAAGCGACACACACGGATCGAAAGGTGTTAAATGAAAACTAAACCGGAAAAAAAGAAAGCAGGGAAAGGTAGCTTGTAGCTACCCCTTAATTTTCCGCAGTGAGCACGAGCCGGAGTTGATTAAAATGCAATTTCAAATTGTTTTCTCTGCTGGTTGTCAGCACTTGATTAAGAGCAACTGTGTTTCTTTTCGGAGGGTTAAAACTGTCGCGCCTGCGCCTTGCTTTTTGGCATCCCCCCTCCCTTCCCCCAACAAAAGGGAGGATATATCCCGGGGCTACCCTATTCGGGTGTCATGTCAAAACAATGCAACTCGAGTCGCAGTTTTAGGGGTAGCAATCGGCAGTCAAACAGCCGGCCAGAGTCGAGGGCTCTGATTGCCCACAAGTGGCTGAAGCAACCCTCGGTCGAAATGTCATTTGAATAACATCAAGGTAGGCGAAAATTTCCAAGGTATGGCTTTGGGTTCCCATCAACAATGACCAAAATGTATAAAATGTTATAAATCGTTTCTGAACTAGACTTCTCGTAGCTACAAAATTAAAAACTAATTTGGAACTCATTGGAAAAATAACAAAAATGTAAAAATACATGCTTTTATAAATTAA